GGTGTGTCGCGCGGATAAAACTCGCAAGTAAGTCGCACAGGAAAATCAAGTAACGCGGGTATACCTGATGACCATGTGGCGCAGGAACGAATATAAATTTCTTGCGGTAACTGAATAAAACATTGTTTGCGATTTTTGGCGTGTTACTAACTTAACGTTCGAGGAATCACCTCTTTCTCCTACGAGTCGCACAATACTCGCACAATATTTACAAAATTATAAAGGTATTTTAGTACGCTGCTTTATTTATTCATTAACAGAAAACATTACTATTTACTTAATAGTTTTCTTCGATACACGAGAAACGTTACTAGTTTAGTTTCTGTACCAAGGGGCTTTGTTACTATTTCGTTACTCAGGTGGCGTTGCTGGTTTCGTTTCCATACCCGGTGTTTCGGTTCTGCTGATATCAATCAGAGGAACGAAGGGGCAAAAAAACAACAAAAACTATCGATGACTATCGGTGGTTACATGGCCGACCTCAAGACTGAAAAAAGGGTTTCGCACAGTGGGGCAGACATTCGACGAACAGCTGTTCTCGAATTTTCAGCATGGTATTTTCAGCAAACACGGCCCGATCCGGCGACACAGTAATCCCAAATGTTTGGAGTAATACTAACTGCCTGGTCTAGGGGGATGCCGCATCGTACTTAGATTTGAGTCCCCCAAACACCAAAATGTCAATCCCTCCCGTCCTACCTCCTTCATGACCCTACTGAGCGTATAGCAACGGTCCGGTGAATTAAAAGTATTAAAACTATTGGCATTTTGATCTAGAGCCCTAAATAGGGGAGCGATGAGGCAATGGGGCCGGCCTTACTTCTCTTATACTCACACCCATACTCACTCATAATAAAAATATAATTAAAAAAACTAATCAGAAAAGATTGCAAATTTTTTACGTAAAATAATGTCTCCTATATACAATGAAAATTATTAATAAATAATTAGTAGTAATATTAAGAACATTTTAAAAAATTGTTAAACATTATTGTTAAATTGACAATTATTACATCATATTAAATATAATTGTAATAATTGTTCATTTAAGAATGATTTTTTAAATAATAAGATAAGGTTTTATAATAAATTTTATTAGGCAATTTTATATTACCTAATTTTATATAAACACTTAAATTGATCCCGGCGCATTCGCCATTATCTGCAGTTCATTAACATTTTTTTAGGAAGGACGAGTGAAATGGGCTGCTTCGGTTTCAATGAGTAAATATCATCGATAAATAATCATACCACGAGTTATATTTAGTGAGAAAATATAATGAATTTTAAGATTTAACGAATTGTCAGTTTGACATTTGAAATTAAAATGTGCTTTAAAATATAAAAAGACTTTAATAAACCTTATTTATTCAAACTTGCCTTAATTTCATTATCGTTTACCCCAACCCATCGATCTCTTAGAGTTTATAATTCAATATTTTAATCATATAACAAACACAGGAATGTCAACAATGTGATAAAAAATATTGTCGCTGTGATAAAATGCGTAACTATGGAATACTGGCATTTTATTGGTTCTAATATTAATGAATTGTATTTTCAGTGGGATATTAACTTTTGAACTAACAAGCCAGAACCGATGTATTGCGAAATGAATTAGTGCTTAAACAGGAGTAAACTTTGAGTACTCTTTGTTTGTGTGCGTGGGCCTTTGTTGTATGAAATAATATTATCTCCCGTGAGGGGAATAGGTTGCCCTAGGTTCTCTAGGGCTGCATAGCTTTTCCCCGACCCTACAACTAAAATAGACGAGTTGCCTCCAGTGCGGACCTCGTTTCCTACTGGGCCTAGCCCGGTTAACTAAAACCAATATTCTTCAGTATTAAATCTTTGTTACTTTATAGCCGACCAGGTTTTTTTCACAGTAATGTATTTAATAAAACAAGTAAGTAAACACAACTTAGAGGTCCAAATTTGGGTAGAACGATCACGAGCCAAAGTTAAAAAATAGTTCATTTATCAATTTTTTATAAAACTTGTTTTAAACGAACCTGGTGTAAGGAGAAATCTTTGCAGTACCTTTACAAAAATTGGTATGTACGGTAAGAAAGCCTTAAGTCGGTTTTATATAGATGCTAAATACGAATATTCGCATTTCGCAACTCTTATTTCATATAGATGCGAACTATTTTTGGGCGATAAAAAACTATTTGTCAAAAACTTTAAACACTTATTTGAACAGTTCGAATAAAACTCAACAAAACAAACACTACGATACAAACGAAATAAACATAAATGGCGTAGGTATGATAAGTAATTGCATTGATGTGAATGCGAAACGCATGCGCATCACGCCAAATTAGTGCAATTTTCGCAAAATATTGGATCAATCTCAAGATTCCCGCACCCTAGATTCAAATCTTGCAAATTCTGTCGAAAAGTCGAAACGGTTTTCCCGCCAAATCAAATTGACCAATTTTCGAATTAACATCTATACGAAACGGGCTTTTCTAACCTCAACTAAAAATGTTGACAGAAATATTAACCTCTTAACAAAAAAGTAATAAATTATAGAACTTTATTAAATACAATAATTGGTAGTGTTTTTTTTGCTTAGTATTTTTTTTAATCAGATATAACTTTTTGCAATGTTTAAAAAATTATAAAAAACGTTACTTAAAACCATAGAAAAAAAATATTCCCAAAAAAATGTTAATGAACTGCAGATAATGGCGAATGCGCCGGGATCAATTTAAGTGTTTATAAAAAAAAATAGGTAATATAAAATTGCCTAATAATATTTATTATAAAACCTTATTATCCTTATCTTATTATTTAAAAAATTCATTCTTAAATGAACAATTATTATATTTAATATGATGTAATAATTGTTAATTTAACAATAATTTTTTAAAATGTTCTTACTACTAATTATTTATTAATAATTTTCATAGTATATAGGAGAAATTATTTTACGTAAAAAATTTGCAATCTTTTCTGATTAGTTTTTTTAATTATATTTTTATTATGAGTGAGTATGAGTATGAGTATAAGAGTCGTATAGCGGGCCCCATTGCCTCATCGCTCCCCTATTTAGGGCTCTAGATCAAAATGCCAATAGTTTTAATTCACCGGGCCGTTGCTATACGCCCAGTAGGGTCATGAAGGAGGTAGGACGGGAGGGATTGACATTTTGGTATTTGGAGGACTCAAATCTAAGTACGATGCGGCATCCCCCTAGACCAGGCAGTTAATATTACTCCAAACATTTGGGATTACTGTTTGGAGTTGGGGAGTCGCATTGTTCCTGCACAAATGTCGCCGGATCGGGCCGTGTCTGCTGAAAATTACCATGCTGAAAATTCGAGAACGGCTGTTTGTCGAATGTCTGCCCCACTGTACGAAACCCTTTTTTCAGTCTTGAGGTCGGCCATGTAACCACCGATAGTCATCGATAGTTTTTGTTGTTTTTTTTTAATGTTTATTACCGCACTAGTGCGAAATTTTCTAATAATTTTTAGTTATTGTGTTGCCCAAGCACGTTTTGTAATTTTTTTTATTATTTTCTAACACTAAGGTATTGCATTTAATTATTAAGTTAAACAAATGATAAGCGCAATTTTCTGTTATACTAGTTTAGGCTCGCAGAAGACTATTACTTTTTTTCGTTAGATTAGGGTGTTAAGTTTATTTGTTTATGATTATGTTAGACGATCAGTAATTGGTTTTGTGTATTACCTACTTAAGATTTATGGGTTTATTGACTTTCAAGTCACGTCATATAGTAGGGTATGCTTGTTTTTTAAATTTTAATAAATGTTTAGTATTGTGGAATTTCATAAAAGACAAACAGAATTTTCTCTAATGATGAATGTTGGCAATGAAAAAGCAGGAAATATTTAATGCAAGTGTATGCGTTAATATTGCAAATAGCGACGTTCAAATATTAATACAATACTTATCCGATTTCTGCGGATGCCCCTTGATTCCTCTGATTGATATCAAATTCCCGCCACAATGAACATGAGGATGACAGGGGTGACACTATACACTATACACTTTGCACTTTAGTGCTCGTCGGTGGGGGTGATTATGCACCTTGGGATTCGCGGAACTATACACTGTTGAACGAAACCTTTAGGTATTCTGGATTTAAAATGCACTGGTTGTTTTTGTATCGTTTGTGGAGCGATAGAAATACGTCTGACTGGTACGAGCGGTACTGTCGTACTTTTTTAATATTATATATATTTCAAAAAAAAAAATTAAAATTTATAAATGTAATTCAATTAAAGTTAAACTGCCGTATAATATATTATATGGCAGTAGTGCACATATAGATTTCAAGCTTATTTGCCTTTGTAAATAATCGACAATAATTGTTAATTATTGTTAATTGTTAATTTTTTAATAATATTTTAGAATAATTAAGCTAATTTTCAGGTTTAATTTAATTCCTTAAAATAATGTTTAACAATACTTCCCTGCGATGTTTTAGTACATTATAAAGAGTAAATTATAAACTTATTACAATATACAACCGTATTTTATATTTTTTTCCCAAAAATAAATTGAAATTCACAACACTAGCTTAATAGTATAGTAGTATATTAACAGCTTAAGTATAGTAGCCCCCAAATTAAAACTGTATTATTTTATTTTGGTTGAATTTTAGCTGATATTTTCATACTTCATAAAATGAAAAAACACAAACATTTTTAATAAAAGAACTTAAAAAGTGAAAAATCTTCAGCAAACCATCAATCATTCCCTTCCGTATACGTCACAAAATTAATACAGACCTCACTTGAAGTTGTGTTTGATTTAGAAGTGGTCCCCCCTAAAGCGACAGACCGAGTCGAAGCGCGCGCGGGACAAGTGGGGGGATAACCGTGCCCCCCTGAGCTGGATGGGGGGACTGCGACGCGCGAGCGGAGAGCCAGGGGGACGACCGTGAAGGCCTTGACGCCGCGGAATACTCCCCTATAACCTGTTGAGCCCTGGCGCCGCTTTGGCTGCGAGCCTCAGTTTACTAAGAGCGACGAGACAAACATGACACAAAAAATACTACTACCAGCAAATACATAAACAACGAACATTTTTACTTTGTCTGAGGAAGTGTTTAATAAATGTATGTGATGCTTTAGTGGTAAAAATGTCGGGAATATCGCCTGCGAGTTGTTGGGTTGCCCATAAAAGATTAGAGTCGTGGGCTAGAGCAGCGAAAGAACGTGCTCTAGGTGGATCTTTAATCAAATCAAATGAGAACAGTACAAACAGCCAAAACAGCAGTTTGGAGGTATACTATATGTAGTTAAAAAATAATTCACGTGTAAATATATTTATATTTTGGTTGTGACGTCGATTTGGAGTGCCACGGGTCGATACGGCGGCGGTGGCAGCAGCAGCAGTAGTCCACCTCTCGCGTGTCCTTGTCCTTATTTTCCGGCCCGCCCCTCTCGCGCCGCTTCCTCCCCCACCTCCTTCTCGTGATTTATCGGCCACTTGTGGACCGCCACCATCGACGCATACTCTCGCATTAAATATTTCCTGCTTTTTCATTGCCAACATTCATCATTAGAAGAGAAAATTCTGTTTGTCTTTTATGAAATTCCACAATACTAAACATTTATTATTAGGTACCTACTGCTTTATTAAAACATTCCTAATACGTCACATTTTTCTATACCTATACTGCTTTATGAAAACATTCCTATATAATATACAGATTGCCTGTTTTAACATGAACTTTTAAATATTTCGCGTAGTGTACATTATTAAAATTTAATCATTCCAGCAGAAAAACACAGTGCTAATTAGTCAACCTTCCCCCTTCTTGAAATCTTAAATTGGAACCTTTATTTTTTCTGTCAGATTCTGATTTAACTGCTAAAAATCCGTATGATTTGTTTGAATTTTTTTTGATTCATGATTATGGAGCAGTAATCGACGAAATTCAATTTTTTTACATGTATCCTACTAAGAACTTATGTATACGATTCTGCAATACGCTTGCAAGGAAATAATTGTAAATAATTTAGTCGTATAATAAATTTTATTACCCAAATTTTCATTACTAAAAAATTACTTTCCAAGAAACTATAGTTTCTTGGAAAGTAATTTTTGAACTGAGTAACATTTGTTATTTCTCAACCCGTAACTACTAAAAAACATAAACAAAGATTAACATGAACAAAACAAAAACTTTTTTGTTTTGTTCATGTTAATCTTTGTTTATGTTTTTTAGTAGTTACGGGTTGAGAAATAACAAATTTTACTCAGTTCAAATATTATTTCGCAAATAAAAATACCTGTTTCCATTGGGCTGTTAATAATCTAATAAAACGGTAATATTTATCTGATTTGAAACAGTTTAGTATAAGAAATCAAGTACTCTAAAACATTTTTTAAATTTCAATGTGGTTAAAAGAAACTTCCTTATTGTACTTATAAATTATTTTTTTTATAAAGCCTACGCTCGTGGATTATAAAATACTTCATTTAAAACCATAGTTTATACAGGGTATACTATAAAGGTTGGGAAAAAATTAAATAATGTTTGTTTTACTATAGTAATAATAATATATATAATAGGGTGGTCGTTAAAAATTAAATTTTTTGCGACGCCCCCTAAAAACTTCGGATTGATAAAAAAACACTGGGAATTTTTTTTTATTAAAAACAACACGTGCCTCAAGACGATCTAAGTTAATTTTTTAAGATATTCAAATTGATATTTATATTTTAAAACTAAATTAGTACAAACGTAATTTTAATATCTAGATTTCTTTACTCCAAGGTGAAGTTATTTCATTGTTAATAATTTTTAAATTTCAAAAAAATTATTATTCCATATTTTCAGAATAGACATGATTATACTTATAATTAACTTAGATCGTCTTGAGGCACGTGTTGTTTTTAATTAAAAAAAATTCCTAGTGTTTTTTCATCAAAACGAAGCATTTTAGGGGGCGTCGCAAAAAATTTAATTTTTAACGACCACCCCAATATACAGGGTGTCCGGGAAAAGGAGGTCAATCCGTTAACCATATATTCCTTGAGTTAAAACAATAAGACTTTCATAATACAATTTTTCAATTTAGAGCTTCATGTTTGATATACAGGGCGACAAAGTTTGAAATTTAAAACTGATTTTTTTTAATAATTCGAGTAATTGATAAGATATTAAGTTAAAATTCGGTACACTACTTCAACATAAATAGTTACATTTTTGGAGACCAACAAAACAAAAAACAATTGTCAAATAAACAAAATAGGGGGGTCCAGTACTCACCGATTCCCCCTATTTTTTAGTACGAGCGCCAATGACTTCCAAACGGTATTTTTTCAGTTAATCATTTATTGTTAAAAAAAATGTGTCTCTTATAAAATTTTGATAAAATGATTTGTTTTAGAGATAATTTGTAAAGTATGGGTCAGTCCATATCAAATCAACCAAAGGTTCTTCCCCCACCATCTCCGATTTTGATAATTTTTGGTAAATTTATTTACCTCACTAAAAAACTCAAAAATCCCATATATGAATTTTTTTCGATAGGTGGCTTTTTGAAAATCAAAAAATTCCGATAAATTTGGGTCTTGCAAGTACTTACTAAAATAGCGATATCTCGTAAACTATTAAAAGTAAAAAGGTGAGTGGTGGCTTATTTTAAAGGCCTATTAGAGACCTTTTTTATGATATATCACATGACCTAAATTTTTTCAAAAAAAAAAATTAATTTTGAAAATTTGATATGGACTGATCCATACTTTACAAATTATCTCTAAAACAAATCATTTTATCAAAATTTTATAAGATACAAAAAATGTTCAACAATAAATGATTACCTGAAAAAATACCGTTAGGAAGTCATTGGCGCACGTAATAAAAAATATGGGGAGTCAGTGAGTACTGGACCCCCCTATTTTGTTTATTTGACAATTGTTTTTTGTTTTGTTGGTCTCCAAAAATGTAACTATTTATGTTGAAGTAGTGTACCGAATTTAAACTTAATATCTTATCAATTACTCGAATTATTAAAAAAAATCAGTTTTAAATTTCAAACTTTGTCGCCCTGTATATCGAACATGAAGCTCTAAATTGAAAAATTGTATTATGAAAGTCTTATTGTTTTAACTCAAGGAATATATGGTTAACGGATTGACCTCCTTTTCCCGGACACCCTGTATATATTAGGGTGGGTCAAAAAAATCGACTATTTTTATTTTGACTTCTGCCACTGAAAAATCGGTTTCTGGGCACCTTCAAAACATGCTTAGCAACGATGAGCTCTTAACTTTGATGGGAAGATCCGCCTCATTACAGTTTTGCATATTTTTCTTAGTCCCCTACAAAAAAATTCATATCTCATCATTCATTAATCATACAGCAAAACTGTAAAGGAGTTATTTGTAGAAAATTACATGTTCTACAAAAAAGATCTCTTATACTTTTTCGATCAATCTAACTATTAAAGAGATATTCAAGGTCAAAGATTGAAAATTGAATGAATGAAAAAAAATTTAAATTTCAAACTTTGTCGCCCTGTATATCGAACATGAAGCTCTAAATTGAAAAATTGTATTATGAAAGTCTTATTGTTTTAACTCAAGGAATATATGGTTAACGAATTGACCTCCTTTTCCCGGACACCCTGTATATATATATATATATATATATATATATATGTTGCAAAGACTGAAATGCCTTCCATCTCGCCACCAGTTGGTGACGGGAGACACGCATTAAGCTTGGCACTAGTGATAGTACCATGTTTGATAAAACCTACCACTGTGTGTGTGTGCATTGTGATTGCACGCCGCACAGCGAGGCCACGTCTTTAGACGGTAGGTGTCTCCAGATTGACTTGCCGATACATCTCGCCGCTGTCCTGGTCACTTATTTCCTTATAAGTGAACAGCTGTTCACTTATAAGGAAATAAGTGACCAGGACAGCGGCGAGATGTATCGGCAAGTCAATCTGGAGACACCTACCGTCTAAAGACGTGGCCTCGCTGTGCGGCGTGCAATCACAATGCACACACACACAGTGGTAGGTTTTATCAAACATGGTACTATTACTATAATTAATAATAAAATAAATAAAGTTTTTATTGCATATTCAGTACAATACAGAACATATAATACAAAATATACAAAAGGCCATCGACCGAGGTCCTTCAGCCTGTACTATAAGTTTAATTTTATTTCAATGTTTTTTTCATGGATAACTTGACGGAATAAATTGTTGAGGTTATTATTGTACATTTTTTTACTTAAACTTTTTCAATAAAATTTAGTAAAGGGTCGTTTTGAGGGATGGTGAATCCAGTGCCGTGCAAAGATTTTATTTAAACAAATCCGGTTAAAATCGCACAATAAATAAAGATTTTACAGGGGTGAGTCGCAAACAAATGGGTCACACTGTATATATATATATAATATATTATATATATATATATATATATATTCCCGCACAAAAAAAAATATCCCTAATATTTTATAAAACAGCAACAAAATTGGAAATTCACGTCAAATCGACAACTATTGAACTTGACCCCAGTCAAGGATATGACAATTAATAATTTTTTAAACTGATACCTATATTAAAATAGTTTATTTTGTAACAAGTTTGGAATACAGCATATTCCGCTCGAGTGAAGAGTTTGTCACACGAGCCGAAGGCGAGTTTGACGGTTTCATGAGAGCATTCCAAACGTGTTTCAGACTATACTTTTTCTACGTTTCCAAAAAATACCATAGAAAAATAATTTTATTGGAAGAAAGTGAGGTTGGATCGGTCTAAAATTTGTTAGATATTAAAAACAGAGATGTCGCCACGAGTGTTTATTCTGTCATCCGATGATAGAATATTTTATTCTGTAACACTTTACGGAATATATGTCATTCCATAGATAAAAGTGATATTAGAACAGTGAAATTCCGTAATAGGAGTAGAAAAAATGTTTGCCTGGTTCCCCCTGGCTACGGCCCTGTGAATTAAATTCTTGCATAAAAATAAGGAAACAATTTTCTAGTTTGTTTTCCGAGATAGTGTTGCAAAAAAATATTTAAATTTTTATATCTGAAAAACCCTAAAAAAATTTAATAACAATTAAATTGATTTCATGACAAACATGTTTTTTTACAATTTTTATTAACATTTTTAAAAACCTAAATTTTGAGCATTTGTGTATTTTTTATTACTTTAGAAATGTGAAATTTGATTTTTTCATAAACGAAGTGAAATCCGAAAAACAGTAATGTGCTGGTAATGCTATGGTAGAAAATATAATCAG